GCAGGAGGAAGTACCGCAGCTGAATGTGCTTTGCTCTGCCCTCGAGTCGAGGCTCCTGACACAGGAGGATCATGGCCCTGTTGTCAGCGAACAGGACCGGGGCACAGCTAGGCCGCTCACCTAAGTCGGTGAGCAAGAAGGTCAGCCAGCGGAGCTCCTGTGCCGCCATGGCACCAGCGTAGATCTCAGCCTCACAGCTGGACTGCGCAACAGACGAGGAGCGGGTAGCTCTCCACGAGACGGCACCTGAGCCAAGGCTGAAGTAGTAGCCCTGGGTAGACCTGAGTGTCTCAGCGTTGTCTGCCCACGAAGCGTCTGTGTGTCCAGTAAGGACCACTGGCCTGCGTCCTCGTAGCACTAACCCCATGCCCGATGTACTAGCAAGATAACGCAGAACCCTCTTAGCGGCAGACCAGTGCTGCGGTCGGTGTCTGCCTGTGGCCACAAAGCGAGCCAGGATGCTGAGAGGGTATGCGAGATCTGGGCGAGTGCAAGTCATCAGGTACATGAGGCAACCCACCAGCTCTGCGTAGGGGCCGCTGGGCTCTACCAACTCCTCAGGCACTGGAGCGGAGAGCCTGTGGTCTACAGGCAGAGGGGTGGGCTGTGCAGAGGAGAACTGAAGGCTGAACCTCTGAAGGACCTGGCGCACCAAGTGTGACTGAGTCAGGGTGATGGTGCGCGCAGCTCTGTCCCTGGAGATCTGCAAGCCAAGGTAACGGCGCAGTTCTCCAAGGTCAGTGCACGTGTGTCTCTTCAGCAGCTCTGCCTTCACGGAGGCCAGTGCGTCCCTGTCAGCTGTGGCAAAGACCAGGTCGTCGACGTAAACAAGGATGTAGAACGGAGTCTGGCCAGCACGAACGAAGAGTGAAGGGTCTGCCGAAGACGGAAAGAACTGCAGGTCAGCAAGCGTAGCACGGAGAGTGTCGTGCCACTCACGAGGAGCCTGGCGCAGGCCGTAGACGGGGCGCCGCAGGAGCCACTGGGTCCCAGGAGGGAAGGTGCCAGTGAAGCCCTGAGGGCGCCGCAGGTAGACCTGCTCGTGTAGGCTGCCCTGAAGGAAGGCAGTGGAGAAGTCGAGGGAGTGAAGCTCGTAGTCACGCTGAGCAGCTAGGTGTAACAGAACCCGAAGAGTAGTCATCTTCGGGGTCGGAGCGAAGGTCTGGAAGAAGTCCACCCCCTCACGCTGACTGAAGCCTCTAGCCACATAGCGCGCCTTGAAGACAGGCGGCTCTCCAGGAGGGCGCTTCACCTTGAAGAGCCAGCGGCCATCGACTACGTTCACCCCAGGTGGGGGAACTGCGTCGACGAAGGTGCCGGTGGATCTCCAAGATGCCATCTCCTGCTCCATGGCAGCTATCCATTGCGAGGCCCAGGGTCCCGAAGTCGCCTCAGCGTAAGTGCGAGGGGTCGGGATGTCGAAAGCGTCTGGGTCACCCTCAGGGACTAGCAGCATGGAACAGAGATGGGGAGCAGCCTCAGAGAGGAAAGCAAGCTCGAACTGGCGGTCCTCCAGGACGTCACTGCCAAGGGCATGAGCACCCCCGACAGACGGAGGACAGGCAGGGTCAGAGACCAGAGCGGAGGCGTAGTCAAGGCGGCGGGTAGAGGCGAAGTCAGCGATACCAGCGACAAGAGCGTCAAGGCACGAGGTCGGAACAGACGGGTCGGTAACGAGAGAGGCAAGGACCCGAGGAACAAGGGGACGAGCGGCACGAAGGTAGTCAGACAGCGGGGGGTTGTAACAACAAGAGAGGACGGAGGAGGCGACGGCAGAAGGGGAGGACGAGACGCGTGGGAACGAAGCAACATAGGGTGGGAGCGCAAGACAGGCGAGGCAGGACGAGCGCGGGAGGGACGGTGAGACCAGACGTGCGACGGAGGAGTCGGGTCAGGAGACAGAGGAGGGGACACAGGAGGGAAACGAGGGGGAAGACGGGCCGGGGACGAGTCCGGCGGAGGGAAGACAGGGCCGTAGACAGGAAGAGGAGGAGACGGCCGGGGAGGAACCGACGCAGGGTCGGGGGACGGAAGGCCGAGCAGGCGAAGGGCTGACACCGGCGGGGACTGCTGCTGCGGCGGCACAACGGCGACACCGGGACCGCAAGCTGCTCCTCGGCTACCACCGGCACTCTCCACACCAGCACCCCCAGAGGGACCACCCCCAGAGCTACCGGGACGAGCACCCCCAGAGTCAGCGAACGGGTGCTGCGACGGCGGCGGCGGCGGTAGCGACAACGACGGCTGCAGCGGCGGCAGAGGCGGTGGAGGGGGGACTGGGGAGGGGACGCTGGGGGAGGGGCGGCCGGCGAGGACTGAACAGGAGGGCCACCAGAGTCAGAAGACTCCTCAACCGGGTCCACCGACGGAAGGGGGGTGACGTGGGACACACCAGAGGGGGCGGGACGGGGAGGAGGAGGAGGAGGGGCAGGGACTACCGGGGAAGGAGTGACCAGGAACAGGGGGGGGGTAACCGGGGGACCACGGTGGGGGAAGCGACGGTATAGGAGACGGACTCGTCAAAGGTGACGTCACGAGAGTGAAAGAAGCGGTGAGACGGCGGATGGTAAAAGTGCCAGTCGGACGCGTCAAGGGGAAAACCAAGGAAGACGCAGGGAAGGGTGCGGGCAGTGAGCCAGTCCAAAGACGAGTCGCCGAAACTTGCGGCTGCTGAGGGTGCGGCCACAAGTTAAGCTGGTGAGAAGCGTAGCGCACAGCGAACGGCCACAGAAAATGGGGTGCACCGGCATGGATCATGGAGGTGCGAGCCACCTCCATGACCAAACCGATGCGTCGCTCAGTGACCCCATTCTGCTGTGGGGAGTCCGGTAGGGTGAACGTCTGGGTGATGCCCTCCGCACGACAAAAGCGACCAAGGACACCTGAGGCAAACTCGCCACCACTGTCGGAGTGAAGACGCAAGACAGGGAGACCGCGGTGGACACGCGCAGAGACAAGCCAGGGGATGAGAGCGCCAGGCACGTTGGCCTTGCGCTCCAGGGGAAAGACCGTGGTGTAACGAGTGAAGTCATCGACAAGCACAAGGAAGTAGCGCTCTCGACGCGGCCCAGGGACGGGGGCGGGGCCCCAGACGTCCAGGTGCAGGGTCTGCAGCGGCGCGGCGGTAGGGGGAAACGAGGAGGAGTGCGGGGCACGGCGAAGCCGACCCTCAACACAAGGCGTGCAAGGTGGGGCTGGGGAGGAGGGAAACGCGGGGAGGGAACCTGGGAGACCAAGGACAAGACCGTGCTGGGACATGTGACGCAGACGCGGGAGCGCAGGGTGACCTAGGCGGTGGTGCCAAAGGAGAGTCGGGTGAGTGAGGGACCGACAGGAGCAGGCAGCAGCAACCTGGGTAGACGCAGCCACCTGAGGAGGCGCCCCAGCCGGGGGGGTCACGGTGTCCAGAGTGAACAGGCCGGACACCGGGTCCCGGGGGAACGTGGACAGGGGGGCACCAGTGGCGGCCTCAGTACAGACAGCATACCGCTCGTGACCAGGGAACGTAGTGGTGACGCCAAGGTCCTGGAGGCAGCCGACACCAACTAGGTTCCTGGAGAACGAGGGGATATGCAGACCTGTGAGAGAGCCCGAAGGAACCGCAGGACAGGGAAGGGTGGTGGAACTGCGGGCGACGACCAGACCGCCAGAGGGGTCAGCAAGAGAGACGGCAGCTGGGACAGGAAGCGGCGTCAGGGTGGTAGAGTCGCGGAAGAAACACCGAGAAGCGCCAGAGTCCAAGGTGAAGGAAAGCGAAGCAGAGGCGTCTGGCAACGGAACGACGGCGGAAGCACCGAGACTACACAAAGCAGGGGATCCTACGCCTGACGCAGCAGGGGAGGCTAAGCTAGGCACACCTACACTAGGCAACAGTGAGTAATAAGCGGGAAGCACACTAGAGTCATCAGCATACATCACATGTAGAGCAGCAACAATGGCATCCATGTCCATATCAAAAATCTGAATCTTACGACTAAGCAAACTGTGCCAGTCCGGGAGGTCTGGCGACGGGCCGAAGCGCTGACGGGGCCCAGGAGGGGGGGGCTCGACGCGGCCCAGGAGGGGCGCTACTGGGCCCAGGAGGGGCACGACGGGGGCCCAAGAGGGGCGCTACAGGGGCCCAGGAGGGGCGCGACGGTGCCCAGGAGGGGCGCTACGAAGCCCAGGAGGGGCGCGACGGGGCCTGGGAGGGGCGCGACGGGGCCCAGGAGGGGCGCTACAGGGCCCAGGAAGGGCGCGACGGGGCCCAGGAGGGGCGCTACGGGGCCTAGGAGGGGCGCGACGGGGCCCAGGAGGGGCGCCACGGGGCCCAGGAGGGGCACGACGGGGACCAGGAGGGGCGCTACGGAGCCCAGGAGGGGCGCGACGAGGCCCAGGAGGGGCGCTACAGGGCCTAGGAGGGGCGCGACGTGGCCTGGGAGGGGCGCGACGGGGTCTAGTGAGGGGTGCGACGGGGCCCAGGAGGGGCGCTAGAGGGGTGAGCGGAAGCGGTAGGTGGGGGGGGGGGATCCTACCTACGCTCTGATACCATATCAGAAACTGAGAAGTGAATGATAGATAGAGTGTACACACAGATATATCTAAGTGTTGTACTCTCTAAGAGACGACCCTATACAGTCTATACAAACATGACAAATACACATGTTTGACATGCTCTATCTCTTTACATCCTACAAATTTTAGTGTGACACATTCGTACGTACAACTTCTAATCTTATTCATATCAAGCTATATACGCTGCTTTTTTATTAGGTACAGAAAGTTGGCTCTCTGTAGTGTTGGTGTGAGTACCGACTGACTTGCTCCCTTGTACTTGTGTTAGTGTTAGTGTTGGTTCATCAACACTGCACTGAATTTACCTTCTTTGTATGTGATTTCTACTATAAACCCATGTATGCATGCGCTCATTCCTAATCGAAAAGCAATCTGATGGGTCACTCAGGCCGCTGAGACCAGCTTCTCACTTGAATCGTAATTATAACAGCTAAGCCTACATGCGCGACACGAATTCGGGCTCTTTCTCTCTCTCTGTCTCACTCCTTCGTGTCCCCTTTAGAAGCAATTTCTAAGACGCCGCCATGGCGGAAACGCAGGAGCTCCTGGACGCGCTGACGGAGCACCTCGGCGCGTTCCACCGCACAGCAAGCAGACGCGAGGCTCAACGGGAGGCGCAACGGGAGGCTCAGCGCGAGGCTCATCGCGCGGCTCAGCGCGCATTCTCATCAAATTCCGCGAGAGTTTCCGAGCAGGAGGTCAGCCAGAGACCGTCGACCAGAGGGATTAGCACTAGTACTACTCATCATCTTCAATCGGACGGTGGAGGAAAGGTGCCGTTAGGCGCATCTAGGGTTGGGATTTTCCCTCACGTACATCCACCGAAGCAGCAGATTCAGGCGTGGGTACGCCAGCTGGACGTGGAATCGCGACGGAGGGCTTTCACCGTTGTGGACCGGCAATGGATGCAGATTCTCCTTCAGATGGCGTCTCACATCCGCATGAACGGGCCCGGTCACTTCATCGTTCTCTCAGACATGATCGAGCAGGCCCCCGTTACAGTCACAAATGAATCAGAGAAAAAGACGGCAGCAGCGGGGGGTCGTCCTGCAGGTGAGACGCGTCAGGCGGCCTCTGCTGCTGCTGCGGGTCTTCCTTCCCATGGCCACGCGAAGGGTCGTGGAAAGGGGAGCAAGGGAGGCGGTGGTAAGAAGAAAGGGAAGTCAAGCAGTAGCAGTAGCAGTGGCGGTGGCGTTGGCGGTGGCGGTGGGTCGGCGAACGCATGCCAACCAAGAAATGGCGAGCTTGCTGACCGTCAAAATCCGACAATCAGAAACGGAAGCAGCGCACTTGTTTCGGAACAGTCAGAATCTGATGGTCGGAGTGAAGCAGCACCACAAGAAATGAGCCTCATCGCTGCTGGAGAAGGCGGGGGGAATCTGAGCCGCTCATCAGCAGCAGGCCCTCTGCCAGCCATCTGCTTCAAGCGGTGTGAAGGCCTGTGGACCAGACTGGGCCGGCAGCAGTGGGCCATCAGGCAACTGGAGTCCTCCCTTCAGCTCTTTTCCTCCTCCTCGCCTTCCTATGGCGCTCAGCGTGAAGGGCTAGTTCTAGGGAAGGGAGGAAGCGGAGGCGGCACTGCAGCTGATGACCTGCAGGAAAGGCATTCTTCCGCCATTTGTACAGTTGATAGTACTCGTGCTTCGTTTCAGGTACAGGCGTCTGTAGATTCCCTCACACTGGCTGACTCGTTACTAGCTAACGTTGACCTCTTGTTCACGGTCATGGAGGAAGTCTCGTGGGGAGGATTCCTTACCAAAGCGCCTGCGAGGACACATACTTTTACCAGCAGCAGCAGCAGCAACACTGGCAGCAGCAGCAGCGGCAGCCAGGGAAAGTCTTCCTGGGAGGAGCTGCCGTGGCTGCAGGCGTTAGGGTTCTACCCCCTGGCGGCCTTTGTTGCCAGCCGCCTGGAGATCCACCTGTGGCGCGCCTGGGACCGCGCCAGGGCGCACGGGGTAGCAGCAGTAGCGCCCACAGCAGGGGTGAGGGAGGGGGGGGTAGCAGGGGAAGGTCGGATAGCTGCTGCACAGGGTGTGACAAAGGGGGGATCACAGGCGGGGGTGGGGGTTAAGGACGCGCCAGCTGCTGCTGCTGCTGCTACTGCTGCTGCTGCTGCTGCCACCTCTGCTGCTGCTGCTGCTGCTGCAGGTGGTGGTGGTAGTGGTGGTAGCTGTGGTGGTGGGGGTGATAGCGGAGTGGCGGAGTGCCCCGCATTGGGGCGGATGGAGCGGCTGGAGTGGTGGTGGAGGGAGAAGCAGGGTGCTGGAGGCGTGGGGGCAAGCGCGCTTCAGGGCGCTTTGTGCCTTGCAGCTAAGGCTGAGGTGCGTTCGGGATGTGATGTGATACCCTGTGATGTTGAATTTTCTGGTGACGTTGGTAAGTAAGTAGCAGCATTGTGATTTGAACTTTTCTCAATCGAGCTCTGAGTGCTGGACTCGCTGTCGTGACTCCAGGCTAAACCTTTCTGCCGTCCCTTTGCCATTTCAGTATCTATCCCGTCCCGTGCAGGCCTTGTCACCTGTGGATCAGGCGGAAGCAGCAGCTCCGCCGCACTACTCCCAGCACCATCTCATCCGCATCACCCACCGCGCATAAGCCCTCCTTCCCCTCCTCGTGCCATCAGTCAACCTCCCTGTAATCCCCATTGACCTTCTTCGTTCCCTGCAGGCCCTGTCAACAGTGAAGCGAGCACAGGCAGCCCAGTCCTATTTCTCCCAGCACCACCTCGGGCGCATCATCCACCGCAATCAGGCCGCCCTTCCGTATCCTCAACCACATTCTTCTCCGCAATTCCCTCCCATGGTTTTCCCACCCACACCTGTTCGCGTGCAGGCCCTGTCAACTGTGCAACAAGCACACGCAGCTCAATCCCAGTTCTCCCAGCACCACCTCATCCGCATCGTCCACCGCAATCAGGCCGCCCTGCAGCCCTTGCTGCTGGCTGCCCGCCACTCCGTCTCCCGCCACATCGGCTCGGCTCATGCCAGCAGCGTCTGCTCCAATATAAACAAACCCGTCACAACTAACAGCCACCCTGCCAGCAGCAGCACTAGCACCAACGCCAGCAGCGCCTCCTGCATTGCACCCTCCTCCCCCACCAACACCTGCACCAGCACCTCCCTGCACCCTCTGCTTCTCGACGGCCTCTTCCTCAACCCCTGCTCCCAGTCCGGCCCACCCATAGTCTTCTCCGCCCACTCCTGGGACCGCCTGGGCCGGTCCCCTGCCGGGCCCTGGCTCGCCGGCCTCTTTGCTCTCATGGACCTGGCGCCGCTTGTTGCTGCTGCGACAGGTGGCAGCCACAGATTGGCGGAGGAGAGGAGGAGTGCTGCGGCTGCGATGAGTGGTGGTGGTGATGGCGCTGTGCCCAGGTGGTGTGAAGGGGAGGGGCTGGTGACTTCGTGCTGGGGCTCTGCTGCTGCTGCTGCTGCTAACTCTCCTCCCTCTGCTCCCTCCTCTGCTGCTCCCTCCTCTGCCTCCTCCTCTGCTACTCCCTCCTCCTCTCTTCTTTCCTCTCAACCCTCTCTCATATTCCCCCACACCCTCCTCTCCCCTCTCTCCGAAGCCTCTTCTTTGCTAAGCAGGGCGCGAGTGCGGATCGCCTCTGCCCTTGACGCGTCCCTGCGGACTGCCCTGCAGCTCGAACTGCTGGAAGGGGAGAGGGCGAGAGGGGGGAGGGAGGCGGGGGAGGGGAGGGGGCAGGGGGGTGGTGGGAGCAGTGGGGGGCAGAGCAAGGGGCGGAAGAGGAAGAAGAAGAAAGGTAAGGGGAGGGACGGCAGCGCAAGGGATGGCCCCGTTGGGGATGGTAATGCAGGGGATGGCGAGGCGGCGGATAAGCCTCCTCAAGAGGAGAGGAGAGGAAAGGAGATTGCAACAGGGACGGTGGATGAAGCAGAGGAGGGTGGAGTGGCAGCAGTAGGCGATGCTGCATTCAACATGGCACAAGCTAGTGGATCAGCCCCAGGTGGTTCAGGTGGTTCGGCTGGTTCAGGTGCTTCGCTGGAAGATGGTGATGGGTGGCACCTGGTGGGCAGAAGAGCAGCAGCAGCAGCAGCAGCAGGGAGTGTTGGTGGCAGCGGCGGTGGTGGCTCGTCGTCTGCATCACCAGCAGCTGAAAGGACAGGAGGAGCAGCCAAAGCACTCACAGTAGGGGCTGCCAAGGAAGCAGCAGCAGGCGCAGTCAGAGCAGTGACAGGAGGTACTACAGCCATCGCAGCAGCAGGCGTGGCAGCCACGCCAGCAACAGCAGGGGCAGCCAGCGTTGCCAGAACGGGAGCAGCCAGCGTTGCCAGAACGGGAGCAGCCATAACAGCAGGTGTGGCTGCATCACCCGGTAGCACAGCCACGGCAGTCACAGTGCTGGCAACTTCTCAGCAGGCGTCAGGTGCTCCTCATGGCAGTGCTAGCAGCAGGCTCGCCTCTTCCTCTCGGGGCTCCACTTCCCCTGCCGATCTTGACCTCTCCCTCTCAGCATTCCCCCCCCTCCCTATGCTGCAGCTCCCCAAGACGAGCCAAGCACCCCCCTCAGACCCCTCCCAGGCCCTTCCGTTCCTCTCCCCTCTCGTGCGCCGCACTCGACCGGAACCATCGCAGCCCATCCCCCCCATCTCCTCCGTTTCACCTTCCACGTCCCCAGCCTCCAGCCCCACCCCAACCTCCCCTGAATCGCCCTCCCCTCACTCTTTCAACTCGGGCTCCCTCCCTCCCACTGCTGCTGCTGGTGCTGCTGGCGCTGCTGGTGCTGCTGGTGCTGCCAGCAACAACCGCCCCAATGTGTCCCCTGTGTCTCTGCGCTCAGCTGTGCCTGTGATTCCTGTGGGCTCTTTCTGCACCAAGCACGCAGGCCAGGTTGTAGCGCAGACAGAGGGAGGCTGCGCGCAGGGGGCGAGCGCAGGCAGGGAGGCGGAGAAGAAGGATGTGGAGAGGCCGTTGGAAGGGCAAGGTGAAGCTGGGGTGGTGAAAGGGGCCGGAGTTATGGGTATGAAGCAGAAGGTTGAGGAGGAGGTGGGTGGATTGAAAAACGGGACAGCAAGAGAAGGTATGAAGCAGAAGGTTGTAGAAGAGGAGGTGGGTGGAGTGGGAAGTGGGACAGGAAGAGACTGCCCTGCAGAACCAGCCAGCGCCTTCAGTCATTCCGAGTCTGCTGATCAACCGACACAGTTCGTGCCTTCACCAGATGCCCCTCCCTTCTTCCCATCAAATTCACCTGAGAGGGTTCCAGTGCCATCAGGAGGACCCCATCTGCCACAGCAGCAGCAGCAGCAGCAGCAGGCACAGCAGTCACAGGCGCACCAGAAGCCTCCCTCCCAGCGCCAGTTCCCCCCCATGCGCCTGCCCTACTCGCCCCGCCACGCCTCTCGCCTCTCCCCCCACCACGAGTGGCCCGGCTTCCCCAGCTTTCCCCCTGGCTGGCCCCGCTCTCTATCTGTCACTCCCGGACAAGCACCCCCTTTAATCTCACCCCACCGCTATCACCACCACCAGCAGCATCAGCATCAGCAGCAGCAGCAGTTGCACCCGCAGTACCAGTTGCAGCAGTACCAGCAGCAATACCACTTGCTCCTACAGCAGCACCACCACCACCAGCAGCAGTCAATGTTAAATTCTTTGCATCTGGAGGGGTCGGGCAGGTGGCCGTGGCTGTGGCACCGGCCCTCTGCCCTCCACCTCACCCAGCTGCCACCCCGGCCCCCTAGCATGCCCTCTTCTCCTGCTTCCTCCCGCTCTGCCTCCTCTGCTACCTCCTCTGGTGCCTCCTTTGCTGTCCCTGCCTCTGCTTCTGCTTCTGCTTCTGCTTCTGCTTCTGCCTCTGCCACTGCCTCTGCCACTGCCTCTGCCACTGCCTCTGCGTCGACTCCCACTGTTAGTGTCGCTTCTGCCTCTGCTTCTTCCCCACCTCCTCCTGCTGCTCCTGCTGCTGCCGCCGCTTTTGACGTTGCTGTAAACCCCTCTGCAAACCCTCCTGCAGCTGCTGGTGCCACTGCTGGTGCTGGTGCTGCTGGTGCTGCATCCTCATCGCCTTCCACCCGCTCATCATCTTCCCCTGCTGACGGCACCTCATCGTCAGCCCTGCCACCCGCTACCACAGACCCCTCACACTCCTCCCCCACCCCGCCCATCAGGAAAGGCCTGCTGGGCCCACACCCGCCAGACCTACAGCCGCTACTGCCCCCTGCCCTCCCTTCTTGGGCCATGGAGCCTGCTTGGTCGCGCCCCTACTACTACGACTGCCTGTCAAACTCTGCTTCTGACACCCCTCACGCACGCCCCTGCGCGTTTGGCTGTTTCTCTGACACGGCTCTTGAGACGGCGCCTCATCCCAGCCCCTACTGCTACTACGACGGCTACTATGAGGGCGTTTCAGACACGATCTCTGCAGACGAGCCTTTTCAGGCTTTTCATGCCCGCTATCCAGGTGTGCTCGGCCCTCCCATGCCGCTGCACCTGCTGGACCCTCCTGTTCCCTACTCCTCTCCCTCTCATATCGCACACTCCCACCCCGTCTCGGGATGGCAGACTGGTCCCAGTGCCACGTTTCCTCACCTGCATGCATCAGTAGGCAGTCACAATGCAGGTCAGAGCTCAGCTGCCGGTCCTCGTGCTTTTCTACCCTCCCACAGCCCGAATAATCCATCAGGCGTCCCCTCCCTGCCGCACCAGCCCTCTGCTGCCTCCCCTTCCGCCTCCTCTCGCTCGCTCCCCCTCAGGCCACCAGAGCCAGTGGTTGTGGCGCCCCCTGTGGTTCCTGAGCTGGTGGGAAGGGATGGGGGGGAGCGGTTGGAGGGGGCTGCTGGGGAGGGCAGGTTGAGAAGGGCTGATGAGGATGCCACTGCAACAGCACTTGGTGAAGGGGGAAGGGTAGCAGGGACAGGAATAGGGGAAAGCCGAGCGGATGTCACAGGTGGAGGCGGAAGCGGGGGAGAGGGAGCGTCAGGTAGTGCTGCTGCAATGCCCCACCGCCATCCACCCCTGCGCATTACTGTACCGTCTCGGCGCGGGGAAGGGGACGAAACCAGCCATCTGGGTACTGCTGGGAGCAGCAGCAGCAGCAGCAGCCGTGGGGGTAGAAGGCAAGAGGAGGCAGCAGCAGGAGCAGCAGCAGCGCCTGCCCCACCTAGCACTGCTGCTGCTGCTACGGTTGCAAATGCTACAGCCCGTGCAGGTGCCGATGGCGCGGGTGGTGGCGTCCCTGGTCGGCAGGGTGACGGGGACTTTGAATTTCAGGGCCAAGCTGCTGCTTATCACGGGGATGGTTCCTCTGAGATGGCAGTGCAAGCCCCAAACACGCCCCTCTCAACAGCCTCTCGGCGTTTTTTCAGCTGGGCTAGAGACAGCAGGACAAGCCAGGACGGGACGGAGTGTGACGGGGATGGGGAGGGAGCAGGGGAGGGGACGGAGGAAGGGGAGTCGGACGATTGGTCCCTGGAGAATTTCACAGATGACTCGTTATTAGCAGGGGAGAATTACCAGATGTTAGAGGACGATTTTGCGGAGTTTGTGGGCGCATCCAGCGACAGGGGGTACTTCTCAGAGGACGAGAGTGTCCCGGTGGTAGCCCAGAGAAGGGGGGTGTTTTACCCTCGGAATTACCGGTCGGGGAGGGGCGTGCATGGCAAGGAAGGGATGCACGGCGGCATGGGGGGGTTCACTGGGATCGGGATGGGGGGGTTTGGTCCAGGGGGATCCTCTGATGGCCGAGGGCTCCTGGGGAGTGGGCCAGGGGCGCAGGTGGGAGGGGGACTTTGCGCAGAAGAGACTCGTTTTTCCTATGACGATAATGATGTGGATTATAGAAACGTGTTTGGAGGAGGGGTGTTCTACTGGAACATGGCGGATTACAGAGGGGCCAGCGCTGGTGCGTCCCGCACGGGCTCGTCCCTGGGGTCAGAGGACAGCTCGTGGCTGAGAAGGGAAGCAGACGTACGCATGATTGTGGATGATATAGTCCTGGGATTTCCTATGTCGGGGTCGATTTCGGGGTCGTATCCCCCGGGCATGGGTCTGTCGACCGCGTCCACTGATCGCTCCAACATCGCTTCGCCTAGTTCCACGGCCTCTGGGTCGTTCAACATGCGCCACGCCTCAACTTCTGCTGCTGCTGCTGCCGCCGCCGCTGCTGCTGCTGCTGCTGTGGCTTCCAGCGCCGCAGGAGCTGTTGCCGGAAGCGTTTCGCCCCGCTTTGAGCAGGGCAGTGCCATGGGCGCGGGAGGAGGGGCGGGAGGAGGGGCGGGAGGAGGTGTTGTGGGCGTGGGAGGAGGTGGAAGGGGGAGTGGTAATGAGAGGAAAGGGCGAAGGCTTGTGTCTGCAGGGAGTGGCGGACTCGTGCTGTATGCGGCTGGGGCGACTAGCAGTGGCAGCAACAACGCTGGTGCTTTGACTGCTGCAGGTGTGGGGAGCCAGCAGCCGGGAGTATCTCGAAGCATGGGATTAGCCCGGTCTGAGAGTGATCCGGCATGTGTGCTGGGACAGAGAGGCAACGGGGCTGCTGTGCCTACCATACGGTTCACTGCTCCCGCTGCACCAGCAGTACCACGGGCAGCAGCAGAAGCAGCAGCAGCAGCGACATCTGCAGCAGCAGCCGCAGCAGCATCAGCAGCGGCGCCAGCAGCACCTGCAGCAGCTAAAGCAGCAGCAGGAGGAGGAGGTGAGGCTGCAGGAGGAGACGGGGGTGGGCGGGAGTGTGATGCTAGGGAAGCTGATGAGCGTGCAGAGAATGCAGACAGTGTGCAAGTGGACGATGGGCGGAGTTCCGCACAAGCAGAAGTACGAGAGAGTAGCAGTGGAAGCAGGGGCGCAAGTCCTGCAACGGCAGCCAAGGCACATGCCACTGATGTGGCTTCCACTGGCGCTGCTGCTTACGCTGGTGACACCGCAAAGCCTATCGCCAGTGTTGATGCCGTTGCTACGCATGTGTATGCGCAGCCAGTTGGTAGTGACACGGGGCAAGCGAGGGCAGGGATGCCCCATGCGGCAGGTGAAGCCATGGGAGGGGAGGGACGTGGGGCTCAAGTTGACCCGCGGCAGAGCCAAAGCTTGCCAGGCTCAAGGCCTAGCAGCTCTGGAGGAGAGGCAGGTGGGCGGAGAAACAGTAACAGCAGCACCCCTGGACAGGGAACTCTGCCCACCTGTAGTCCACCCACGGACCAGCAGCAGGTGCGCCCTCTTCAGCTTGTTCCGCCGGTGCTTGTCTCGTCGTCCAGCCCAGGTTTTCCCACTAGCGGCAGCAGCGGCAGTGGTGGGAGCAACAGCAACAGCACGAGCAGCACCCCGGTGGGTCTGCGACGTGCTGGTGGCAGTGAAGGTGGTCGGATGTTCCACCGCACCCCTCCCCTCTCCCGTTCCCCGTCTATCAAAGCAGCAGAGGAAACTGCTGTTCTTCCTGCTGCCAGTTCTCCATCACAAAGCCCGCATCAGCTGCCGCCGCAGTCGCACCAGCAGCACCAGCAGCCGCAACAACAATTGCAGCAGCAGCAACAGCCACAGCAGCAGCAGGCTCCGCTGATGCATATCCATACTCGCCCCATCCAACACCGGAGCTGCGAGTTCAACTTCCCACACGGCTTCACACCACCAGGCACAGCCATACCCCCTGGGGCAAGCATAGCAGGAGCACCAGCAGGACCAGGCATGGTTACTGCTGCAGCTGCTACTATCGTTGCCACAGGCATCACCCTTCCAGGTCCAATCCGGGTTCCCACCCCCAGCAGCATCAGTCCCAGCAGCAACATCAGCAGCATCACTCCCAGCAGCATCAGCCCTAGCAGCAGCAAACCCTCCTCCCATGCAGCAGCCATGGCAGGCAGAATGCGTTCCTGGAAACGCCCCAGCTCACCCGTTCTCAGGTACCAGCCGCCCCAGGAGGCACCTCCTCCGCCTCCACCCTCCCCTGTTGCCGGCGCTGGCCGTTCTCGGGGGTATTTCCGGGTAAGATCCGGGAGCTCTAGTCCCCGGCATTGGGGCCTGTTGCCCAGCAGTGCTCCTGGTGGCGTTGGCTTTGCTGCAGCAGCTGCAGCAGTGGCAGCAGCAAGGGAGGCGGTGGTTTCAAGGGAAAACGCTGCTGCTGCTGCTGCGGTTGCGGCGGCTGGTGCGGCAGCGGCAGCGGCGGCTGCTGCAACACCAGGAGGGATGGGGGGGGCAGTTGGGCTGCCTGTGAGTGGATTAGGCGTGGCACAGGGTGGTGGTGTTGGCAGGGGGATGTGGGGCCTGCCATCTCCTGCTGCTGCTGCTGCGGCTGCGGCTGCAGCTGCCGCAGCCATGGCTGCTGGGCAGGGGTCAAGTGGAGGGGGAGGAGGGGGAGGTGGTGGAGAGGGGATGGTGGCAGGGGTGAGGACAATGGGGATTGGAGGGAGGGCGATCCATGATGGTGTGAGGGCGCTGGTGCCACCCCTCGCACTCGATCCAGTCAAGGTGAGTGGAACGATGGATGCAATTTGACCGGATCGCCTACCCTGAACTGTTTCTTCCTCGGTGGTTCCAGAAGTGGATATAGCCTTTCTCCCTGTGGGAGCCATTTCACTGGACTTCAACTTGTAGGTTATTTTTTAGAATTCTCAAAAATCATTTGTGGGTGCCGTTTCACTGGACTAAGAGATTTCTCCTAACACACCTCTCTCTTCCCCTCCCTCCCCCCCCTCACCACCCTTTTTTTTTTTGCCTCCCAGCTGCCCACGATCATTCAGGTGGATCGGTGCTGCAGGGGTGACCCCTCCTCCCAGCCATCCCTGGCGGCACTGCACAGCGCGCTGCACGAGGAGATTGAGGCGTTCTGCCTGCAGGTGATGGGCGAGATGCGCGCGCGCAAGCCATACCAATTGGCTGCCATCACCAAAGTCTCACGCACGCTGCAGGTGGGTGGGGTAACCTCTTAGTCCTCTCACTCCCAGGTCACCTGGGCTGGCGAGATCCGCGCGCGCAAGCCGTACCAGTTGGCCGCCATCACCAAAGTGTCGAGAACGCTGCAGGTGAGCGGGTCAAGTGCTGCGGGGTTGGATCACCCTCCCTGCTTAGTGCAGGTGAGCTGAGCTTGGCACGGTTGAGCACGCACATCCCTGCCCCTTGCACATTACAGATATGTCGCTTGCCCTTTCCCGCATACCATCCATGCCCACGCTTCCCGACCCCCCCAGTGCTGTGGCCTCGCTCCTGTGTGTCTGGCCACAATGCGACGGGGCTCGCCCTGAGTTAGGTTTTTGAGAATAAAAAAAAACCTAACTCAGCCATGCGAGCGGGCTCGCCCTGCCCGTGTTGTGAGGCGCCTCAACAGCGCTCATAGCTCCCATGCCCATTCTCATGACTCCTGTGCGTGTTCCTGTGCGTCCCCCATCCCCCCAGGTGCTCTGGTCTCGCTCCCGCGTGTCCATATTCGGCTCCAATGTCACAGGTCTTGCTCTGCCCATGTTGTGAGACGAGACAACCCCCCTCATAGCTCCCATGCCCATTCTCCCACCTCCCATACCCATGCGTGCCTCATCCCCCCAGGTGCTCTGGCCTCGCTCCCGTGTGTCCATATTCGGCTCCAATGCCACGGGGCTTGCTCTGCCCTCCAGCGACGTCGACATCCTCGTGCACCTGCCGCCCGTCAGAAACCTGGTGAGAGGATCGGGTCGGAGGATCGGATGTTCGCCCCATTGCTGGTGAGTGGTTAGTGGGACTGGTGTTCGCTCGCCATGCCCTTATGGGACTGTGGTGCGCTCTCACCCTGCCCTCCAGTGACTGTGGTGCGCTCTCACCCTGCCCTCCAGTGACTGTGGTGCGCTCTCACCCTGCCCTCCAGTGACTGTGGTGCGCTCTCACCCTGCCCTCCAGTGACTGTGGTGCGCTCTCACCCTGCCCTCCAGTGACTGTGGTGCGCTCTCACCCTGCCCTCCAGTGACTGTGGTGCGCTCTCACCCTGCCCTCCAGTGACTGTGGTGCGCTCTCACCCTGCCCTCCAGTGACTGTGGTGCGCTCTCACCCTGCCCTCCAGTGACTGTGGTGCGCTCTCACCCTGCCCTCCAGTGACTGTGGTGCGCTCTCACCCTGCCCTCCAGCGACTGTGGTGCGCTCTCACCCTGCCCTCCAGTGACTGTGGTGCGCTCTCACCCTGCCCTCCAGTGACTGTGGTGCGCTCTCACCCTGCCCTCCAGTGACTGTGGTGCGCTCTCACCCTGCCCTCCAGTGACTGTGGTGCGCTCTCACCCTGCCCTCCAGTGACTGTGGTGCGCTCTCACCCTGCCCTCCAGTGACTGTGGTGCGCTCTCACCCTGCCCTCCAGTGACTGTGGTGCGCTCTCTCTCATTACAAGGAGCGGTTTTCCTCAGCCCTTGAGCTTCTCCTCTCGCATCTAACCCCCCCCCCCCACCCCCCACCACCCACCCTCCACCCACCACCCACCCTCCCCACCCCCTACAAGCCCCCCAACCCCAATCCCCCCACCATCCCTCCCTCCTTCCCCCTTCGCATCCCCGGCAGCCCTTCCCCCTTCGCCCACGTTACCTGCACCAAATCATTGCCCACGTCAACGAAGCAAGCCATCATAGAGGGGCACAACGGCGTCATTGAGGCAAGATCGAGCCAACCCAGCGATTTCCCCTTTTTTTAACTTCCTTCCCTCCACCTCCCTCCACCGCCCACCACCTTCACTTCCCCCCTCCCCACTCTCTGCATGGCACCAGGAGCTCATCAGGCAGAGGGGCATCCTGGAGGAGCGCAACAGCATCCAGAAGACATGGTCAGGTCATTCCTGAGCTTGTTCTTCCCTCACTTACTGTCCTCCCCAACCTCTCCCTCCCCTCCCCCCCTCCCCCCTCCCTGCACGGAATCAGGGGCCCATCAAGGAGGCGGGCAAAACTAGAGGGGCGCAACGGCATGAAGGAGATATGCTCAGGTTTTGTGACAGTTGTTTCCTCACTCGCCGTTCCCCTTCCCTTCACCACCACCCCTTCACACCCACCCCTTGTCCCCACCCCCACGTCACCAGCAACCGAACAAAGAAGAGGGTATCCTGGACCTGTAGGAGCGCAAGGCATCCAGAAGACATGGTCAGGTCATTCCTGAGCTTGTTCTTCCCTCACTTCCTATCCTCCCCGACCTCTCCCCCCACTTCCCCCCTCCCCGCCCTTCTTGGCACGGCACCTGGAGCCCATTAAAGAGGCAGGTATCCTAGAGGGGCGCAACAGAGCTAAGGAGACATGCTCAGGCCATCCCTGTGATTATTCTTTCTTCGCAGACTTTTTGTCCCCCCCCACCCTCTCCGCCTCCCCTTCCCCCTCCCCTTCCCCCTCCCTGTCCCCCTCCCCTTCCCCCTGCATGGTACCAGGAGCCCATCAAGGAGGCGGGTATCCTGGAGGGGCGCAACGGCATCAAGGAGACATGTCTGCAGCACGCGGCGCGCCACCTGGCGGACCAGGATTGGGTGAAGGGCGACTCGATCAAGACCATAGAGAATGCCATGGTGCCCATTATCATGCTCGTCGCCCGCCTGCCAGCTCACACGTCCCGCCTCTCTGCTGATGTGTCACCTGCTACAGCTGCTGAAGCGGCCCCTGCCAGCGTGGCACCTGCTACTGCTGCTGATGTGGCTGCTGTTGTCCTTGCTGACATGGAGCCTGCTGAACTGACCCCTGCTGACCTGGCTCATGCTGACGTGGCTCCTGCAGATGTGGCTTCTGCGAACGCAGGGGGTGAGCAGGTGGAGTCCCGTGTCATTGCAGACGGGATGAGCGCCAGCGATGCTGCCATATCAGCTGCTGCTGCCGTATCAGCTGCTGCTGCTGGCACTACTGCTGGCTCTCGTCTCACCACTGCTGCTGCCACTGCTGAAGATGGAGCCGGCATTGCTACTGCTACTGCTACTGCTGCAACAGAGGAAACAGTCGCTGGAAAGGCGGCGGGACAAGTGGTGGGGGAGGTGGAGAAAGGAGAAGGGAAGGAGATAGAGAGGGGAGAGAGTATGGGGCCAAAGGTGGTAGCGGGAAAGACCGATGGGGGTGAGAAGGAAAAGGGAAGATTGGAGAAGGCAGAAGGGAGATTAGAGAAAGCAGAGGGGAGGGGGGCGGCAGGGAAGGAGGTGCAGGTCCAGGTGGTGAAGGGCGGGGTGAGGGGGCCGTGGGGCAACGTGGACGACCGCAGGAACGTGCGCCTCGACATCAGCTTTGAAGGAGGGTCGCACTCCGGCCTGCGCACTGCTGAGCTGGTGAGTCTCTCTGAACTGGTGAGGCATGCTCCAGTCCGTTCCCCTCCTCTTCCCCTTTCCCCCCTCCTCTTCCCCTTTCCCCCCTCCTCTTCCCCTTTCCCCCCTCCTCTTCCCCTTTCCCCCTTCCTCTTCCTCTTTCCCCCTTCCTCTTCCCCTTTCCCCCTTCCTCTTCCCCTTTCCCCCTTCCTCTTCCTCTTTCCCCCTTCTTCTTCCCCTTTCCCCCTTCCGCTTCCTTTTTCCCCCTTCCTCTTCCCCTTTCCCCCTTCCTCTTCCTCTTTCCCCTTCCTCTTCCCCTTTCCCCCTTCCTCTTCCTCTTTCCCCCTTCCTCTTCCCCTTTTCCCCTTCCTCTTCCTCTTTCCCCCTTCCTCTTCCCCTTCCCCCTTCCTCTTCCCCTTTCCCCCTTCCTCTTCCTCTTTCCCCCTTCCTCTTCCCCTTCCCCCTTCCTCTTCCTCTTTCCCCCTTCCTCTTCCCCTTTCCCCCTTCCTCTTCCTCTTTCCCCCTTCCTCTTCCCCTTTCCCCCTTCCTCTTCCTCTTTCCCCTTTCCCCCTTCCTCTTCCCCTTTCCCCCTTCCTCTTCCCCTTTCCCCCTTCCTCTTCCCCTTTCCCCCTTCCTCTTCCCTTTTCCCCCTTCCTCTTCCTCTTTTCCCCCGTCCTCTTCTTCTTGTGCTCCTCTCAGGTGCGGGAGCTGACAGCGCAGTTACCCACCATCCCACCGCTGGCCCTCGTTTTGAAGCAGTTCCTCGAAGCCCCCCTTGTGCTCCTCTCCGGTGTGGGAGCTGATAGCACAGTCCCCCACCTTCCCGCCACTCGCCCTCGTCTTAACGCACTTCCGCACAGCCCGCTTTTCCTCCCCCCTCCCCCTCCCCTCTTCCACTTCCCCTTCGGGCTCCTCTCAGGTGCGGGAGCTGACAGCGCAGTTCCAAGCCATCCCGCCGCTCGCCCTCGCCTTGAAGCAGTTCCTCACAGACCCCCATTCCCCTTGCCTTCCCCTTCCCCCACGCCTTCCCCCTCGCCTTCCCCTCCCCTTCCCCCGCACCTTCCCCCTCGCCTTCCCCTCCCCTTCCCCCTCGCCTTCCCCCTCCCCTTCCCCCTCGCCTTCCCCCTCCCCTTCCCCCTCCCCTTCCCCCCCCCTTCCCCCTCCCCTTCCCCCTCCCCTTCCCCCTCGCCTTCCCCCTCTCTTTCCCCCTCCTCTTCTCCATCCCCTCTCAGGTGCGCGAGTTAACAGCGCAGTTCCCCGCCATCCCGCCACTCGCCCTCGTTTTGAAGCAGTTCCTCACGGACCGCAGCCTCGACCACCCATACACCGGGGGACTTTCCTCCTACTGCCTTGTGAGATGCCTTGTGGCTAGTTCGTGCATGCCCCCCCCCTGTGCCTTGTGGTTGTGCTTCTCTCCCCTATTGTGTCTCCTCACGGTCCGCAGCCTCGACTTCCTTTACACAGGGGGCTCTCCTCCTTCTGCCTTGCGGGCCGCCTTTCAACAAGGGCCATCATGCCCCGGGCCTCGCATCTCCTATGCCGCCTTCTGCCTTCTTACAGCCTAGACTAGACCGCCCCTACGCTGGAAACCCCTTCTCCTGCTGCCTTGAGAGGCACGCGCGTACTCCCCTTGCCTTTTTCCTCCTCCTATGCCTCCTGCCGGACTGTGATACTCCCTGGCCTCTGCTTTCCTCCCCGATCCCACCCCTTGTTCCTTCCTTAAACAATCGTGCCCGCTTTCCCTCTATCCCTCCCCAGTGTAACCCACTTTCCTCCTCAATATGTCCTTGTATTAGGCTGGTGGTTTGTTACAGGCATGGCAGGTAAGAGAGAGACCCTCCCCCCTCTGTCTCGCCCCTGCTCGTCCCTACAGATGAGATGACCCGCTTTTTCAAATTCAACAGTGGTTTCGAATGCCTCCTCCCCACCCCCACTTCCCCCCTCCTTCTCCCCTCCCCCCCCCCTCCCCGCCATCACCAGCTGCTGCTTATTACGCGTTTCCTGCAGATCCAGCCACACATCGGCCGTCCCCCTCAGTGGCAGAACCTTGGAAGCCTGCTGCTCGACTTCCTGCACTTCTACGGGTGAGCTGCCCCTTCCCCTCACTGCTCTCGTGTCTCCCTAGCAGGCTCGATCAGCATCCGGTCGCCACTCGGTCACCCCCCTCGGTGGCAGTCTGCTGCTCGACTTCCTGCACTTCTACGGGTGCGTTGCTTGCTTCTTTCCCCCACTGCCCTCGTGTCTCCCTAGCGGACTCATAACAGCATGTTTCCAACAGAATTCGTTCTTTCCTTCTCCCCGACTACCCATCTCCTCCCGGCCTCTGTATTAGGCCCACATCGCAGGGCTGCCAGCATCAGGCAGGGAGGGGCCCACTTCGTATTTTTTAAATCTACTCAACCACCATTCTCACTGCCCTCTCTCCCTCCGCCTGCGCCTCTCTCCGTTACACCCCCCCTCTTTACCTCCCAGCTGTGTGTTTGACCCCCGCCGCATGGCTGCCAGCATCAGGCTGGGGGGGGCGTTCCTTGAGCGCGACCGCTCGCAGAGGTGAGACCTGCTTGCAAGGAAGCTTCCTGGAAGGAAAGGGTGAGAGCGCGACCGCCCCCAGAGGTAAGGTGTGGAAAGGGTGGGCTGTTGGGAGGCTGGGCTGTTGGGAGGTTGGGCTGTTGGGAGGCTGGGCTGTTGGGAGGCTGGGCTGTTGGGAGGCTGGGCTGCTTTGAAGGTGAGCCTCTGGGAAGATGTTTTAGGCGCGTCTGTGCAGAGGTGAGGTTATTGGATTGGCTGGAAGGGGTGTGATTGGTTGTGGTTGCTGTCCTACTGCCACTCTTCCCAGACCAGCATGCATGGCAGCGTTTCTTTTGAGGCCACTCTCCCCATGCATGCATGATTACATGCGTGCATACCCGCTTTTCTCCGCAGCACGTTGAGTCATTTCCAGGTACCTCAGTCAACTCTGCATTCGTATCTTCTCTCTTCCCATGTATGTGTGTATATGTGCATGAATGTGTGTGCATGTGTGTGCACATGTGTGCATGTGTGTGCACGTGTGCATGCGTGCATGCATGCATGGCAGCATCGACCCATTGCATATAGAGGACCCCCTCGACCCCACCAACAACGTTGGGCGCAACTGCTTCCGCATCCTTCAATGCACCAAGGTATGCGCTGCTCCTGGTGGCTGTGAGGTAGTCCCCACCATGACCAGAATAGAGTTCCCTTCTCCATCTATCCCTTAGCCACTGTTTGCCATCCTCCACTTCTCTTTTCTGTCCGCTGCCTGCCCCTCCCTCACCTATTTGCAGATGAATGCGGTATTCTCTCTTCTTCCCCCCTCTCCCCCCCACCCACCCACCTCTGACGCCCGTGCCAACATCCTCGAGAGGCAGCTGCCAGGCATGACCTCTGCGTCATGCCTGTTCTTTCACCTTTATCCCTGCCAGCTTATCTACCCTCCCCTCGTTCCCTTTCCCCCCCACTTCAGGCCTTTGCGGATGCGTACGACACGCCCGAGAGGCAGCTGCCAGACAGACACGACCTGTGCCTCATGCCTACTCTTTCACCTTGATTTCTGCCTCACACCCTGCCCCTGCTTTGCCCCCTCCGTCCTATCAGGCATTCGCAGACGCCTATGATGTGCTCGAGAGGCAGCTCCCAGACATGACGTGCGCCATCGCCCATGGCAGCCCGCCATGTGGCACGCAGCTACTGGCCAAGATCCTGCCCAGCATTGCCCCAGCAGCGACCAAGTGACCTCTGAGCCCTGCAGGAGTCATCTGCATACTGCCCAAGCATACTCGGCATGCTCATCTACGATCCTGCCCAGTTTTAAGTCGCTTAGAACCTTGCACACAGCCCAAGCATGCTCAGCATGTGCAGGTACTGGATCCTGCCCAGCATAGCTCCCGCCATGTCCAAGTGATGTTTGAGCAGAGAGGGCGTCAACATTCTCCCCAGCATTGCGCCAGCAGCACGTTGCTTGCATGTAAGCTGCCTGTCACGTGTGTGTCTCGGTGTATTTTGAGTCATGTGTGTGTCTCGTATCCCGTGCTGCTAGGTGGCATGGCATCATGTTGTGCGTATGCCGTATCCTAGAGTGATTGGTCCCGTTTCCATCATCTGCCCTTTCGTCTGCCCGCCATGCTGTGTCTCCTGCCCCCAACATTGTATCCCATCCCTTGTGTCTTTGAGTCCCTGTGCTGTATGTACAGTACATCCCACCCACAGCGCATGCTTTAGTGTTGATGTGATATCATGGGCGTGGCATGCATTACACTCTGATTCTTTCAGCCTGTGTACCAACTAGCATTCATTCGGATGCTAGTCGATCATTCTTGAAATTAGATGTCAACTTGCTAGGTGACACACCACCACACCATTCTGCCTTCACTCCTCGATGTATTGCGACTTGAATTCTTCTTGTTGGATCTAGCAGGTTGCGAGTGTAGGTGTTCAATCTTTGCAAGCCGGCACACTCTACAAGCAGACATTGAAGGAATGTATAATGGCCAAGTACAGCCCTCCCTAGTACAAATCATTCGAAGGGGTGCACAGCAGCACAGCGAGTGCACACACAGTAAGTAAAACACGAGCTACTAAGCAAATGCTCAGGGAGCTCTAAAAAAACTGCTTAAAAGACTGCTGCTGCTGGTCTGCTGGTCTGCAGGCCTGCTTGTAAGTGCTCAGGAGCAGGAGGAGAAGGACTCAATGAGCGTCCTTCCAGTGTGTTAGGAGCTGCTGTGGCTGGTGGTCGTGGGGCTGCTAAGTTTGACTCGAGCGGGGTCTCACGAGCAGGAGGAGAAGGCCCTGATGGTCATCCTTCCAGCATAGCTCGAGCTGCTGTGGCTGGTGGGCGTGGTGCTGCTGCTGCGCGTGCTGCTGCTCCTGCTGCTGCTGCTTGCAATGCAGCTGGAACCAATGCTGCTGATACTCATGCTGCTGATGCTTGTCACGCCGCTCGCGCCGCTCTCAGAAGCTGCCATCTTTCTGCCTGCCTTCACGTCCTCTACATCACGTGCCTCTTGAGCACTCAACTCTGCCGTCGCTTGGCTCTTTGCTTGCTGGTCCTCGTGGCATGCTCCCGTCTCATAGGCTTCCATCTCTGGCAGGTCGTGTGCAGTCGTGACTGCCGTGTCCTCTCGTGCTTCTGCCACAGGAGCAGCAGCAGCAGCATGTGACCGCACCTTCGAGTGCTGCACCAGCCACGGGTGGCTCAAAACACCGTCGATGTCGATCCGGTCCTGAGGATCAACGGTCATCATGCGGCAGATCAGATCCTTCGCCGCCCACGACACCCCAGCGCGGCTCTCCTCACCCTTCCGCCCATCCGTCCCCCCATCCTTCCGCCAGGGCCAGTACCCGAAGTCCTCCAGGGGGACGAGTTTCCGCTCGCCTGCGCGGAAGGAGGGCCAGGAGGCGGAGAGCAGCGCGTACAGCAGCACGCCCAGCGACCACACGTCCGCCTCGCACCCGTACGGCGCGCGCGCCAGCACCTCGGGCGCCTCGTAGGGCGCGCTCCCCGCGAGCCCCACGATCGCCTTGTCGCGCGGGAGCTGGTACGCCAGGCCGAAGTCCCCCACGCGCACGTCGTACTCCGCAGAGGCGGAGGGGGCGGGGGGGGACATTGCATCGGCGGAAGAGGAAGGGGACTCGGCGGAAGGCTCCGCGGAGAGGTCGGAGGCGGCGGAAGATCGCGTGCGGCGGCGCGAGATGAGGATGTTTTCGGGCTTGATGTCGCGATGCACGACGCGGTGGTCGTGGCACCATTGCACGCCGCGCGCCAACTGTGCGAAGATCCGCGCCGCCGCGCGCTCGTCGAGCCCGCGCGGATTCGCCGCGATCAAACCGAACAGATCCCCGCCGTCGCAGAGCTCAGTGAGAATGTAGACGGCTTTCGCGTCCTCGTACAGGCCGACGAGGCGCAGCATGTTGGGATGGCCCTGGAGGATGATCAGGAGGGTGATTTCGCGCTGCAGATCCGCCTCCGCCGCGGGGGAGAGCCCGTCTTTCCTCACCTGCTTGCACGCGAAGGCTTCCCCCGTCGCGCGGTCCTCGCAGCGCCACACGCGCCCCGACTGGCCCTCGCCGAGGAGGTCGCTGAAAACGCAGCGACGCGCGAGCTCTGACGAGTGCTGCGGATTGAATCTGCCCATTCTCTGCGCGTTCTTTTCTTCTGCGTCTGCCGGCGAGCTGTGCCTGGAACGTAACGAGGAGGAGGGCTTCAATGGGGCCGCCCCTCGGCTTGTTTTGCGATGTCTTGTCTATTACAATCTCAAGAAGATTGGAAGAGGGTATCTTGGAAGCAAGGACAAATAGCATTCAAGATGTGATGTCTAGAAGTGGGCAAGGTGAGGTTTCTGGATAAAGGGACACTTCGGAGCTGGACGGATGGATGACGGTTGGGTTGGAATGATTGTGGCTGAACGAGACTGGCGAAATGTCGATGCCATGTCGAAATGCTTTATTGGAGGGTTGGCTTGGCTCGCTGCTGCACTGTACTGTATGTGACACGTTTGGCTAGTTACGGCTTTGCCAAGGGGAACTCGGCTGGCTGATTGCATCGGTTCAGGTCGGTTGAGACGTGCGGAGTTCGGCCGGTGGCTTCGTCGATGAGGAGACGGGTGACAACTGTCACGCGACGACGGAATGAGGAGACGGCTGGGCGAAGGGGATTTTTTTTTGGCACACGTGACAACCCCTGCCGACTGTGAGTGGCGGATGAGCGGGCTTGCATGAATTGCAGCACCGTGATTCGTGCAGCCGAGCCGAGCCTCCAACCCAAACCAGTGAACCACCACCGTCCTTTTGTTCTAGAATCCCAACCACGCCTCTCGCCTCTGCTTCTGCCCTGCTGACAAATGAAAGGACTGCCAAGCCAAGACACGACGAAATAGGGACTGCAGCCAAGCCGGCTGGCTGGCTCGTCCGTGCACCTCGCGCCAGTCCAAACTGCCGAGGCCGATAAAATATCCCGTCCACCTAGCGGTACTTCTTGGACCTTGTGGCTTGGAACTGCTGAGCCAGAAAATCAGGGCTGCCATCCATCACCAACACTACCACCACCACCTTCCCGCCGGCGACAGCAATTTCAGTCAACAGTCCAAGCACTTGACTGAAGTGAAGCAATACAGTCCAAGAAAACAATTGACGGCAACGAGTGCTCTGTAGCCCCCCTTTTTTTTCAGGCGAAGTTTTGCTGCTCAACTGCAGCAGCACCCGTTGAGAAGCTCAGTACAAACGAATCTCGTCAGAGTCGCACAAGATTTTAGGGTGCTGGGAATTCAATCGCTCAAGTATTTCGCATTCCCACGCCACGGGGAAATAAGGCTTGAGCACGAGCACACGGCGAAATGGGTGGGTATTTGTGGGGGGGGGACTTGTGTGGTGTTGTTTGTTGCCAGTATGCGACTCTTGTGAAGCGATCAGGCGACGGCGGTGCACAGTTCCGTGGCGACGAGACCTCGTAGGCAACGACTTGTCTCTTGCCATAAGTTGGTCGCAGACGCAATCATGAGTGACTCAAACAGACCTCTCGTTGCCCGTATATTGGGGGTTTTGGAAAACGATTCTGATTCAGCGCCAGGCTGAGCTGCTATAAGGCTGGGCATTGTTTGTAACAAGAGTAAGTGAATGTTAACCCTGCAATTACTGGATAATAATTGGCCTTTACCCTGCCAGAAATTGTTGACAGGCAGGCTTGCGTGGCATTTGAAACCCTCGGCAACCAATGAATTGAAACCAGTGGCTCAACATGCAGGCTCGTCTGATTCTGGAACCTGAGGCCCGCCGCACTTCCCGAGATTCTTCCGATTTTGCCAATTTGTGGAAAAAAATTCCAGAACTTCATTGGTTGAAAAGAAAGCTCACCTGCGAACCGGCGCCGGTTCATACCAGGTCGGCTCTCCGTGCTTCTTCTTGTCTTTTCTGCTCGTTTCCTCCAGCTTCTGGGGTACTTGTTTGAACTCGTAACAAAACCTGGGTGTATGACTAGATACCGCCATCTGCTGAAAGTGGATCTCTCACCATTCAGAAACCTTCAGGCCCTATCCATATTGTTGCCCCAACCTGGTTGACCAGTAATGATACTGAACGCATGCGGGGGTCAGCTCACTTTCTCTGTGCTTGGGGCAGTCCACCCTGAACCCGGCCTCAAAACAAGTTTATGCACAGCAGTCTGTATACAGCTGGCAAGCACAATACAGACAGCATCCATTAGAGGTGGGACTTTTGTGCAGTACAGAGATATTAGTGAAAATACGAGATGTCTACGCTGCAGCTTTATGTTGAAAAATACAACTTTTTTCCCCATTATATCCACATAGTTTGCAACAATGAGTGGCGGATTACACAACTGAGTGAACCACAGAGCAAACCCCAGACGAGTGAAAGCATGCCTGTAATCACAGAAAAGGGTCATAACCTGAAGTTTTCATGTGGAAGGGAGAACGAAAGAGACTTCGAAACGAAGGAGAGGCTTGCAAGCAGCCAACAACCGCGCCAGAACACCAAGTGATGCAGAGGCAAGACACGAAGTCAAGGAAATGGTGCACGGCGACCAGAGAGGTCAACACGTCGGCTGTGAGTCAATGATGGACATGCACCACTGGTGGGCATACAGAGCAAATGGACATGCATCGCAGCAAGGATCGACCCAAGCAGGGGATATTGTACTGTTGTGAGACAATTCCCGTTAGCTCTCAAGAGCGTGATGATTGTGCTCTCAAGGTCATTATCTGGGATGGTGAGCAGCAGGAGGAGGAGAAGCAGGAGATCTTGTACTGTTGTGAGACAAGTCCCGGTAGCTCTCAGGAGCTTGATGACGGCACTCTCAAGGTCACTGTCTGGGATGGTGAGCGGCAGCAGGAGGAGAAGCAGGAGCAGAGGCGTGAGGAGGAGGAGAGGGGCCGGTGTGCTGGGACAACATCGAGGGGTGCATGGGCATGTGCATGTGCACATGCATGGGCATAGGCATGTGCATGGGTTGATGCATGGGTGCGTGGATGGGTGCGTGCATGGGAGATCGGACAGGAGAAAATACCAAAGCAGGGTGCGGCATGTGGGGATGGTGGTGGGCGAAGGGGCTCTGGGGATGGGGGAATGGGAGGGACATGTGAGGTGCGTGCGGAGAGGGCCTGTGTGGAGAGGGCCCGGGAGTGCCTGGAGCAGACTGAACGCCAGCATGCTGCTGCTGCTGCTGCTGCTGCCTGGGTGGGGTTTGCATGAAGTGTGGGGCGAGCTGCTGTGGATGCTGCTGCGGATGCGGTAGTGAGAGAAGCGCCCCTGCTGCTGCTGCTCCCCCCCCTCCCCCTCCTCCTCCTCCTCCCCCTCCTTGATCCCCCTGACCATCTCGACCTCCTTCACCAGTGGCACTTGAGTCTCCCCCATGAGGGGGGGAAGAGCCACTGGCTCCTGCGCCACCATACAGTGGAGAAGGGTGAGGAGCGGTGGAGTGCGGTGAAAAACCAACACTGTGAGGAGGGTTTTCGTGAGGGGGAAGGGGGCCATAGGGGGGGCGACTGGGGGAACCCGCGATGGGGGGGAAGAAGTGGAGGAGGGGACGGTCAGGGGGAGGCGCGCCAGAGAACGGGGGAGGGGAGGAGAAAGGGGAGGGGGAAGAGTGGGTGGGGGGATGGGGCGATAAGTGGTGGGGTAGGAAGGTGAATGGCCCTCTTGCATGGGAAAGCATGGCGTGTGGGAACATGCCAGGGGGAGGCATGCCATGAGGAGGCACCCCTTGGGGAGGCATGCCTTGGGGAGGCATTCCTGGGGGAGGCATGGTGGGGAAGGCCAGTCCTGGGGGGAATGGAGAGGGGATAAGTCCGGGTTGGTGTTGCATGGGCGCATGGGGAGGCATCTGCTGCTGCTGTTGCTGATGGTGCTGCTGCTGTTGCTGCTGCTGCTGCTGCTGCTGTTGCTGCTGCTGATGGTGTTGCTGCTGTTGTTGCTGCTGCTGCTGCTCGAGTGGTGGGACCCAGGGTGGCATGACATTACCCGGCACAGCATGTGGGAAGGAATCGCCCCCACTCTGTAACATGTGGGTGAACGGCGGCTGATGGGGGTTTGGCGGCGGATGGAGCGGATGGTGCTGAGGAGACGGGGACATGGATGGGTTTATGGGGAAGGGCATGGGGACGGAGGGAGGGGACCAGAGTTGTTGCTGCTGCTGCTGCTGGTCCTGCTGTTGTTCCAGTGAGGGTTTTAATCCACAGACAGCATGAAGCCCCTTTTCCTGACTGCCACTGCCTGGCTCACTCTCATCCATCTCCTCCTGCCTCTCCAAACCCCTAGCCTCTCCTGAATCACCATGGGTCTTTCCTTCCTTTCCACCCATCTGCACCGCTTCACAATCCTTGTGCTCCTCACCATTGACATCAACCCCTGGCTCAGCCCCTGGCTTAACCCCTGGCTTAGTTTCAGCATCACGCTCACCCACACTCTCACTGCTTATCTCGCTCGCGGAATGAGTCTCTTGCTTCGCTTCATTGGCAGCTTCCCCCCCCTCCCATTTTGCCTCCATCTCTTGCTCTATTGCACGTCCCTGCTTGTCCCCATCCCCAGCTGAGTCTTGCTTCTCCTGCTGATTCGGCTCATCCGCAGCAGCAGGGGAGGAAGTGGAGGAGGAGGAAGAATTGCCCTGGAAGAACCCAAAGAGCCGCTTCACAATGCCTGGTTTCTGCACCTGCTGCTGCGGGGCCTGCCTTCCCACCTGCTTCCTCCCTTGCAGGGCGTCCACGGACCGAGCTCCCTTCCCCTCCCCTGCTTCTCCTTCCTCCCCTGCTTCTTGTTCCTCCCCTGCTGTAACCGCTGCTGCATTGCCACCAGATTCGATGCCCCCACCTCCTGCTGCCTCTGCTGCTGCAGCTGGGTCACCATCACCCATGCGCAATTGAACCACCTCTTTGCCCGCCTCTGCTGCAGCAGCTGGGTCTGCTGAAGCTGCCAATGCTGCTGAAGCTGGGACTGCTGCTGCAGCCGAGTCTCCATCACATAGGCGCTGTTGAGGCACCAATTTGCCCTCCACTTTGTCAACACCCTGCACCTGCTCAGCCTGACGGCCTGCCAGTGAGGTCTCAACATAACCTGCTGCTGCCCCTTCACCTGCTGCTTCCCATTCACCTGCATCCGAGGGCATCTTGCCGCTCCTTTTGGCACCACTATCGCCAGCCGCTCCTCCTCTACCCTCGCACACCTCTGTTTCCGCTGCACTGGCTTCTGGCACAACTCCTCCTCCCTCCCCTCCTCCCCCTCCTGCTTCACCCCCTGCCCCTCCTGCTTTCCCTCCTCCACCTCCTGCTTCCCCACCTGGCCCTCCAGACAGCAGCGATAGCAGGTGCATGGAGGCAAAAGACGCCTCATCAGACCCACGCCCACGCCCAGGCCCGCTTGCCTGCTGACTGAACATAGCGGCCAAGGATACCTGCCCTATCTGCCCCCCCCCACCCCCACCCCCACCCCCCTCTCTGATCTCACTAGCACCATCACTCCCACTACCCGCACCTCCACTTCCCCCCACCAGCCCAGGCAGCAGCAGCTCCCCTAGGCCAGGAGCATGGGCAGAAGGAGCATGGGCAGCAGGGGCATGGGCACTGGAAATACCTCCCACGCTGCCGACAGTGCCTGTTGAGCCCCCAGCAGTAATTTCAGCAGGGGTGGGGCCGCCACCTGAGCCTGCATTGCCTGCTGTCAGGCATGCAGTGCTCCCACCTAGACTGTCGCGCCCATCCTGCCTGTCCTGCCCGTCCTGCCCTTGCTTATCTGCTGACTGCAGCAGGGACGCCTCTATCTCCTCCAGGCTCTGCCACTGCACCATTGCCGGCATTGCTGGCAGTGGCGCTCTTCCTCCCCCTTCCCCTGCCCCATCACCTCCACCTGCCCCACCCCCTGCCCCTGCCACTGCGCCTGTAAGCCCCCTAGAAGTAGGCTGAGTGGAGAAAGGGAGGGGGAAAGGCAGAGATTCCCCAGCAGTCGAGGCTGCAGCAAGAGGAAGTGAGGCAGTAGCAGTGCTGACACTCCTCCCCCGGTCCCCTCGCTCAATGTCTGCTAGGCTGGGCCCTACCGGCATGGGCAGCACAGAAGACTGAAGGCCTGGACCACCCGGCAGTGGGACAGGCGCCCCTACGCCGAGCGGAACAGACAGAGTCCCTGAACCTGCCCCTCCTAACAATGCCCCAGGCTTGTTAACCCATGGCGCATACGCTTGCCCCTGGCCATTGCTGCTGCCACCAGCGGCTCTGGTGCTGCTGGCGAGACTTATGCCACTGATCGTGGTGCTGGTCTGTGGAGTGCTGGTAGCTCCAGGCTTGGAAAACGAAGCTGCTGCGTTCGGCCCAAACAGGCTCGCCAGGGGGATGCTCCTGCTCTCATAAACCCTGCCACCACCGCTGCTCGTGCTGGTGCTCCCATTGCCCCTGGATACTGTTGAGCTCGCAGCTGCAGTTGCAGCACTGGGAGGAGCAGCAGCGCCACTGGGTGGGGCAGCTTGCAGGGAGAGAGCCTCCAGCAGAGATTCGATGGCTGCAGCATCGTGGGCAGACGGGAGTGACGGCTGACTGCCTGCTAGGGTAGGAAAACAGAGATGGGGACCAGGGGGAAACGGAGAGCTGTGAGAAGCGGGAAGAGAGAGGAAAGGTGCGGCACCACTAGGGGCAGCTTGCAGGAATAGAGCCTCCAGCACAGATTCAACGGCTGCAGCATCGTGAGCTGATGGGAGTGATAGCTGACTGCCTGCATGGTTAGAGAGGTCGAAGGGAAGGCGGGGGGGAGGAGGAGGGAAGGTAGGGGGGGAAGAGGGAGAAGAGGGGAGAAATGGGGAAGTTGATAGGCAAGAGCCTCCAGCAAATAGTCTGTCAACACTCAGAGTGCCCTCAGCTCAGGACTTATGGCCTTGCAATGGCACCCTAACACCATGACTCATGGGCTCACAGTGGCACCCTAACACCATGACCCATGGGCTCACAGTGGCACCCTAACACCATGACCCATGGGCTCACAGTGGCACCCTAACACCATGACCCATGGGCTCACAGTGGCACCCTAACACCATGACCCATGGGCTCACAGTGGCACCCTAACACCATGACCCATGGGCTCACAGTGGCACCCTAACACCATGACCCATGGGCTCACAGTGGCACCCTAACACCATGACCCATGGGCTCACAGTGGCACCCTAACACCATGACCCATGGGCTCACAGTGGCACCCTAAGACCATGACCCATGGGCTCGCAATAGCAGTCTCACACCATGACTCATGGCCTTGTGCACAATTCTGGTGGACCTGAGACGGGGGCATGGTGGATGGCGAGTGATTTCAAGACGATGATGATGGGGTCACAATGATGACCCGCAAAGCAAAGCACAGTACCTACTCGATACAAAACGGCCCGAGGCCGAGATGACTTTTGAGCTGACTCAAAGGTCATCTCGGAGGGCGAGTGCTATCAAAACTACCTCACCATGATGATGGGTCACGATGATGACGGGTCACACGATGATGACCGGTCACGATGATGACGGGTCACGACAATGACGGGTCACGGTGATGACGGGTCACGATGATGACGGGTCACGATGATGACGGGTCATGATGATGACGGGTCACGATGATGACGGGTCATGATGATGACGGGTCATGATGATGACCAGCACCGCACAGTATATACTCGACTCAAAACGGCCCGAGGCCTACCTGGTGGTCCTGAGGCGGAGGCATGATGCAGGGCGCTCTGAATACTCGCCAGCTTCACCCCCAGCGTCTCCCCTTCTCCCAGCGTGCTCTGCCAGAAAGGAAACCACAGGCATCACAGCAAGGATACGCGTGTGTGTGCAGATACGAGCCACGGAGAACAGGGGTAGCAGAGCAGGCAACCTTAAGAAGGAGAAGAATGCACCCACCCAGCTGTTCTCCCGCGATGAGTCAGAGCGATGAAAAAAAAACGACGGGCCTTACAAGAGAGGCAAAGCAAAGCAAGGCAGACGATTGCTACGGATTGAAGCAGGCTGGCGTGCTGCCGATTGAGTCCCAAGAAACATACCGATTCGTAGCTCTTGGGATTGGTGAACAGCTGTGCCAGGAGTGCGATGCCACCACTTGCACTAACGGGAACCTAATGATGAGCAAGTGGTGGCGTCGCACGGATCCAAGGATTTAACAGAAGAGGCATAACGCATGAACAGCAGACGTGGGCGGGTGCTGACGTACCGATTCGTAGCTCTTGGGATTGGTGAACAGCTGCGTTAGGAGTGCGACGCCGCTCAAAGCGTTGGTCTCTCGCTCCTCAGCGAATGCACGACTTCCACTCAACGCGCCAGCCCCCTTCACCTCCCCCCTCCCTCCCATTCCGTTCGTTAACAACCCTTTCTCGAACAATCCAGACAGCCCCTCCTGCCCTCCGCCTTCCACACCTCCCCCTGCCTGCTGCGCCTGCTTATGCCCCTGCAACAGCTCCATCAGGGCCTCTGGTGTGCCCCCACCCTCTCCCCCACCCTCTCCTCCCTCACCCCACAGCAGAGCCGCAGCAGCAGTTGTGACAACAGCAGCAGCAGAAGGAGACGCATCAAGCCCGTTTTCTTTCCTCCCACTCTTGCTCCCAGCAGGCTCTCCTCTCCCCCACCCCTGCCCGCCCTCACCCTCCACCAACCCTTTTCCAGTCCCTGCTGCCCCCCACGCTGCTCCAGAGCCCAGCCCGCTCGAACCTAGAGGCACAGAGGACCAGTCAAGACCGGGTTGGCCAGGTTGACTGGTAGGGAAAGCTGAGGCGCTGGTTCCGCCCCCGGCCAAGAGAGCACCAAAGCCCATTCCTCCCCAGATGTCCCTCTGCTGGAACCCAGCGCCCATGCCGCCACCGCCACTGATGCTGCTGTTGGTGCTTCCACTGCCAGTGAGGAGTTTGGACAGAGCAGAGGTGGCATCGGCAGCAGAAGGAGACGCGAAACCCAGCACCATATCAGGTGTAACGTCTGCAGGGGGGACTTCCCCTTCTGCTGTCTCTGTGGCTCTGTGGCCCTTCTTGTCTGGGGAGGGTTCAAAAAGCGCTGATTCTGGAGGCAGGGACCAGCTGGGGGAGGTAGAGCCAGCAGGGATAGGAGGGTGGGCGGTGGGAGGTACAGCGGCATTCACAGAGACTCCATCTTCAGCACGAGCCGCAGCATCTAAGGCTGCAGCGTCCGCCACAACACCATCCACCGCAGCAGCACCATTCCCCCCAGCAACACCTGCTGCAGAATCGACCCCAACATCCGCCTCTAGGTCCGAGGCCAAGGCAACACGTCCAATCAAAGCCAATAACCCACCCTGCGCCTTTCCTCCTCCTCCTGACGCCCCCTCCGCTCCTGCTGACGACCCAGACCCCGCAAACAGGTCGTTCACTGAGAGGCGCTGCCCCTCCTCCCCCCTTCCCTGCACCGAATCAGTTTGCTCCCTTCGCTCGTGTTGCTCGCTCTGTTCACTTGGTTCCCCGGTTTGATCTGCATCTGCACGCGCTGACTGCTGCAGTTCCCTCTCGATCTCCTCGAGAGACAGGGAAGCCGCGGCAGGTGGGATCGCAGGCGGAGTGAACCCACGCACAGAGGATCCCACCCCGCTCCCCCCATCACCAGCAGCAGCACCACGACCACCAACACTAACACCAAGACCCGCACCAACACTAGCAGCGCCACCAGCACCAGGGCCTTTCCCAGCCATGATCCCTCCCAGCCACGCAACCAGCTTATCTCCCTCTGCCCCTCCGCCCCCTGCAGACTCTCCCTCCCCAGGCGCACCAGCAGCAGCATTTATCCCCAGAGGACCTGCACTGGGAAAGCCTGGCGGAACTGCAGGCGCCAGGCCCATGAGAGCAGCCACAGACGGCGACAATGCTGGTGCCAATGGCCCCCCTGCCTGCACATCCCTACCCCCTGCTGCTGCAGCTGCTCCTGCGGCTGCCCCTGCTGCTGCCCCTGCTGCTGACCCTGCTGCTGCCAAGCCAGCTGCTTCGCTAGGATCAAGATCCAAATCCTCTGTGGCACGGGGCGAGCCGAGAGGCTCAGAGTCGTCCTGGTCGGCTGGTGACCGGCCCTGATAGGCGGAGCGCCCCCCCTGGTCCGCTGAGTGGTCTGCTGAGAGCGTGGGGGCGTCCCAGAGAGAGTTCTCGTCGTGCCTCCTGCGCTGCAGCTCTGCCTGAGAGAGAGGCGCTCTGGTACCGGCTGCAGCGGCTGCATCGGTGGAGGTGAGAGGTGAAGACGACTGGGGTTTCTGCGCTTCTGCTGCTGCTCCTCCTCCTCCTCCCTGCTTCTGGTGCTGCGCCCTACGGAACTGCTCGAATTCCTCTGCTCGGAAGGAAGGGAAGGGAGGCGGGAGGAACGGAGGAAGTAAGGGAGCAGGATAGAAACGGTGGGGGGGGAGGAGAGAGGAGGGTAAACAGGTAGAAACGGGAGCAGGCTGGGAGAAAAGGGAGTGGGAGAGAGGAGGCGAAAATGAGAAAGAACGGGAAGGCAGAGAGAATGAAACGAGAAAACAAGCAGGGAGAGAGGGGTGAAGAGTGCGGAAAAGAGCGAGAATAAAGGGGAGAAAAGGGAGAGGGGACGGAGAGAAGAGGAGGAAACGTGAGAGAGGCTCACCGCGGCGCCTCTTCTCTTCCTCCATTCGCCTCCCATCTCTGCTGCTCCCTCCAAACGTCTCGTCGTTGAACGAGTCCTCCACCATCAGAGGCGCACCTGGCACATACGGCTGCAACCAGGCAACCAGGCAACCAAACCAAGCAACCATCAGGCAACAAACCAAGCACCAGGCAAATCAGATAGCGATTGTCGAACGTGGAGCACGTACCCCATGCACAGAGATCTTACAAGGCGTGCTACACACGAGCAACCAGCGAGTGCAACAGCTCTACCAGCCAGCACAAGTGGCCTGCATGCAAGGGGTTCTCTGGTGCAGCACTGCAAGCACAACACAACACAACCCAACCCGGCACAACACAGCTCAACCCAACCCAACACAACTCAATCCAAACCCAACACAGCTCAACCGAACCCAACCCAGCCCAACTTCACCCCAACCCAACAGAACACAACTTACCCCACACAAACTCACGCTGCATGGTGTCACCATTAAGGCAAGCCTCACCTTGCGCGAAGAGTCATCCTCTCCTCTTGGCCTCTGCCTGACCGCAGGACCTGCATATCCGCCATCCCCTCCTCCCCCTCCCCTCCCCATACCACCCCCAAAACCCCGCGCCCCCATGCCCCGCCCATATCCCCCTCCCCTCTCTCCTCCTCCTCGCTCCCACCCCCTGCCGCCCCCACCTCCCCCAACTCCCCCGCCTCCCCCACCTCCCCCGCCCCTGCCCAGCATCCCCGCGGGCTGGTACCTGCTCCTGAGCCCGTAGCCCTGGCCAGGCCCGTCAAACCCCGGAGGAGCGGTAGGAGCATCACTGGCGGGCTTATCCGGACCATACCCGCTGCTGGAGGGGCCTGGGATAGAACCTGGAATAGGGCCGCTCTGATGTGGGCCGTAAGGCCTACCATACGAGCCACTATACGGACCACCATATGGTCTGGTTCCCGGGCCAAAGTCGTGGACAGGAACGCCGGCAGTGCCCTCGGCCTTCCCTCCTCCTGCTCTCCAGCTGCTGCTGGCGTCAGACGACCGGCCGGCAGGAGGCCCCGTGAAGGAGGACGCGGAGGCGGATGGGGATGGGGAGGGGGAGGGCCCGTTGGCGTCCTTGCCCGTGACGGGTACTCTGTTGGGGAAAGTCCTTTGCTCGAAGAAGTGCGAGCGGGAATTCGTGTCTGCACGACGAGGAGAGGCATGGGGGAGGGGGGGGGGGGGGGGGAGAGGGGCATGCATAGGTCAACGTGGCGATACCCAGAGAACGCGGCAAGGTGAGAGAAGCAGACGAAGTTCTGGGCGGTTTTGCGTTGCAAGAAAGGCGTGAGTGCTGCGTGGAAACGCGTGGCGTGAGAATGTTATCTCAAAATGCGTGGCATCACGACGAGCTCACCTGTCTTCCAGCCAGGTTGCAGCCTTGGGACAGTCCCACCAACACCAGCTGCAGCAGCAGCTGATGCTGCTGCAGCGGATTGAGGGCGAAGACCGCCAGGCGCAACACCACCACCCACACGGCGATCCTCCCCTTCCCCCTGACCCTGGTTCTGATTCAGCGCCTGGCCAGTAACTGACGGAAACGCGCCATCGTCTGGAGCTTTGCCTCCGGCTTTGTCCAAGATCGGACGGCCACCAGCACCACGGCCTCCCGGACCGTTGTACGGTTTCTGAGCCGAGTCAAATGGCCCTCCGTACGGAGGAGCTCCTCCGGGTCCGGGGAACCTGCGACCGTCTCTCCCCCCCCACTCAGGCCCTTCGTACGCCTGTGGTGAGCGCCCTTGGCTGTTAAGATCGGTGTGACGAGCAAACGGAAGAGGAGAAAGGTAAGAAAAGACCGAGTTAGGCCAAGAAGACCCGCGTATAGAACTTGTTGATGGAAGAGAAACAAACGACGAGGGTTTGGACGGAAACAGAAGTAGGACTACAAGAAGATTCGAATCTTCCGTTCGGAGTTATGAGCAAGTGAAGAAAAAAATGACGTGGCTGCGTTGCGTACTTGTTCCAGTCGCGGCGAGGTGGACCATGAGGGCCTTGAGGCACCGGGACGAATCCCTGCATCAATACCCTGAAAGCGCATGGAAACGAATGCCAAGTATCCCGTTACAGGAGTGTTTAACATGACAGATTACCAAATCTCAAAACGTTACGTGCTGCTAGGGAAAGAAAGAACGGAAGAAACAAAAACAACAAAACTACCACAGCAATAGCAGGACTCCGCTCAGCGTACCTCCATGGCGACGGATCAAACCCTGGAGGCGGCTCCTTGCACCTTGGGAGCTCCGAAAAAGACAGCAGCTTGCTCGTTGTGTACGTCTTCATGGCCCTGCACATGGATGCACAATTTAAGTTCCTCGCACGAAACTTAAATTCACGTCGTGTCAAAAAAAGAATGCGATGAGACCAGGAATACAGAGATTCACGATGCTCGTGGCATAAAAGGGCCAGCAAGGGAAGGTAACAGGTGCCAGGTGGATTACCTTGAAGACTCGGGTACGCCAGTAGCTGCAGCTGAAACCGCTCCCTCGGAATCCATCGCTGAAAGCTAAGTGTGCAACGGCAAGATCTCAGCAAACAACGCGACAAGTCCTAACCTACATCCTAGGCAGCTAAACTGAGCCAAGAATCTACATGAATTCTGAGCAGACACGACGAGCTCCAGGTTTAAACTACAGTGGATAAGTAAATTCTGCAAAAGAACTGGAGACAGCCATGGAATTGGGACTACCAAGGACTGCGAGTAAAAGCTTGGTCAGGAGCCATGGCTGCTGGCAGAAGAAATGGGTAAGGAGCCATGATGACGTGAAATGAGCATGGAATGAGAAGGAATGGAATCTGTTGTGGATGAGATCGGCTCTTCATTGCCTGCTTTGTGGTTGGATGAGCACTCAGTCATGGGCTCGAGCCGAAGTACACAGCTTGGGAGGCAAGGGTGCCGAGCCAGAAGGTTACCAGGTTTACTCAGAGGTCTGGCATCACGAACTGCCTATTGACGTGCTCCGAGAGTTTCCGCACCTCCAGACATTTGACCAATGAAGCGAGGCCAGGGTCCCCGAAGCAGACAGGCTGTGTTCCCATGAAACAGCCGTGGCCGTTTTTGTGACAATGGTGCAGGTTGCCTACCTAATCATTAACATATTCAGATCATTATTATTTCTATTTATGATATCTTCTAAACATTCGGCCCAGTGTTTTTCCATACAGCCCATGTATTTCATAGACGAATAAATTCACGTGCCTACAGAAATATGGTTTTGATGTAGCTCATGGACTCACGTACAAGTAATATCTAGGTAAATCCTGCCTTATCTTCTAGCGGAGCATGTCTCTGTAACGGGTTCGGAAATGCAATCACAGACTGACCAGTGTGGGAGCTGTGCCCCAGCACTTTTTCGGGCATCCCCTGCAAGACAGCCCACCCACGTGCACGAACTATTCCCAAATTAGGGTGTGTCCCATGCGTGTCTGACTGCGGTTGAGTGAGGTGTGTCTCGGGGCACAGGGATCTAGTATTGTTCTACAACGGCTGGATAGGGTACTAAGGAAGACGCACTCTTGGGACACCCCCTTATTCCATTCCAGGCCACAACAGAGCAGAGCAGAGAGCACAGAGCAGGCTTTCTCCCCTCAGATAGCGTGAGGTGTGGTTGCATCGCAGAAAGCGTGAGCACTGCGCTTCGCGCTCCTGGTGCGTCTTTTCGGATCTTTTGCGCTCGAATTTATCTGTAGCGGCGCTAGAGATGAGGAGGAGCGTGCGGGCCATTTCCGCCTCGCGTAGGTTGCTCGCAGCTGCGTCTGGTGCAGCGCTGGACAGAGCGTCGGTAGCAGCAGCACCATTAGTAGCAGAATCCGCACGAGCGTCAGTCGTAACTGGATCCGTCGCAGCAGCACCACCACTGTGGGAGCATCATGTGCGTTCAGCTTTTGTTCGATCCGCAGAACCGCCAGGTGTCAGCTCGAGTGAGGCGAAGTGCTTGTGTCGCTACCATGTACCTTCGTTGTTGGAACATCAGAATTACTCGTCATACATGATCGGTCTGCTGAATGGCCGCCAGGAACCGCGCAGGACGACGGTAGTTAGCGGGATGAGGAGCATGAGCAGCGAGGTGGTACGGCAGCAGCAGAAGCCACATGAAACTGTGGGCCTCACCGACAGATGCGCGGAAGTGAGTGATTTCGTGCTGTGATTCGTTTCGGGAAACTTTCTAGGTCTCTTCTGTGTTCAAAGGCTAAGGAGAAATAGGCAGCTGCAGGGGAGATTTTTCGGCTGGAAAGGAGATGCAACAGGAACAGACGCGCATGGATGAATGTTTGATGGATTGCGGTATTTTGTTTGTTTTCTGATGAGCAGAGATTGGCTGAGATCATCAAAGAGGAAGGACGTGACGTGTTCTTGAGATTGACTGTGGAGGGAGGGGGTTGTTCTGGCTTTCAATATATTTTCACGCTGGATGACAAGACCACTGGTGAAGATAGGTAAGTTCCATCCAAGCAACGGCCTTGCGTGGTGTTCTGGCTTTCCATATATTTTCACTCAGGATGACAATACCACTGGTGAAGATAGGTTGGATCCATTCATGCAATGGCTTTTCGTGGTGAATCTGGGTGTGAATTGTTAGCCAACTTTTGAAAATGGCATCATTCCTCCCTTCCTTTTGGCGAATTGGTTGTTGTGCTCCCTAGTCAACAGAGATACGTTGTCACTTTGTTGGGCTCCCTACCTACCATGAGTGATGGTGACCCTTTGTGCTTCTTTCCGCCATAAAATTCCGAGCAGCATTTTTGAGCGTGATGGAGTCCGGTTGGTGGTGGACAACGTATCTCTGCTTTTTGTGGATGGGGCTACTGTGGACTTCACTGATGAATTGATTCGTTCGTCATTTCAAGTGAGTGGGGTCCTCATTCATAGGGTTGGCTTTCTGCCATTTGTACATGCGTGCTTGTGGTATGTAATGCCGTACCTTACCGTTTATCCTGGTGTGCAGGTGATCAGCAATCCCAACTCTGCGTCATCATGTGGATGTGGTTCTTCATTCACTGCAAAATAGTACTGTGGTACACTACCCCACTTGATGTGGTTGTGGCCATTTGGTGTTGCACTTTATCCAGGGTATGGTATTTTTCAAGTATAGAACAACACGCAACGTGATTAAGATAAGCTGGCTCACATTTTCGAAGAGATCGAACTATGTGTGCACCCGCCACTGTGGATGATCGCACAATTGTCTAGAAGATTAACCATGCATATCATGTTGATTAATGAGCGGCCTATTCCTTGTTGAGTTATCTTACAGTAAAGCAAAACGATCTTTCTGAGGCAACAACGCACGGGAGCAAGCTGATTGGAGAAACTTCGTGGGTGTCAACCATCCACGAGGCTGTGTTGTCTTGCTGGCAAGCCGCGGAACTACCATTCCACATCACGGACATTGAAACCGCCATGTCAGCCACTCGGGCTTATCTCAGCGATGCCTCTGCGGCGCTGTTCAGGCTTGCACACGCACCAAGAAACGACTGTGTTCTGCCACGCTCTCGTCCACGCGTCATTCTCGTGATCAAGCTCCCCATCTGATGGGAGGCACATGCCTTCTGACGTGGTTCAGTCAGAGTCACGAACAACCCGCGGCCAGCTCATCAAGGTCGCACCGTCGAGTCACACGACCAAGCTGCTTGTGCGATCCTCCATCAAATAGGGGGCATACAGTTTTAAGGTCGCACATCCTGCAGCCCCACGTCTCACAGTCGCACAACTGGCAATCTCAAGGGTTTGGCGGCTAGAAAGGATCCAACGGTGCCACCTCCTACTAGTTCAGGTTCTTGATGAGACAATCTCTAGGCATTTGCATTTGACAAATACAAGGTTCAACGTCTCCGACCATTTCTTTCCAAGATCACCATTTTCTCTCAAGCTTCTCTTTTTCCTGCTTAGCCTTTCCTTCGCCAAAACAACGCTTCGCAGCCAAGATTGTAGCGAGAGGACAAAATGGCAACTGCTTGCATTTCACGCTCTGCTCTGTCGGCGCCGGCTACCGCTGGGGCTAAGGCGGTCTCTGGCCAGCAGAAGCGGCAAACCAGCCAACTGGTCGCGTGCAGATGCTCAGGCGTCGAGGCGTCCACACCGCTTCGATCGCGGTTGAGCCTGCAGTCGTCGTTCAAGGGCGACGCTCTCGTGGGTCGTCCAGTCCGCGCTGCCACCACCAAACGATCATCTGAGAGGTATGGCGATTCATGCACATGTCGTCATCAGGCAACACCACTCCACGAGGCCTTACTCCTCGTCTTCCTGCCGTCGATACCTACTCCTTCCTGTCTCCCGTCTACCTGCCTCTGCTTCCGCCCTTGTCTTCCACCCATCTCTTCTCTTTTCCTTCTTCCCCCTCCCTCCTCCCCCCTCCCCACTTTCCTTCTCCCCCCTCTCCCCCCCTTATCTCTCAATCTCTCCTTCCTTCTCTCCCCATTTCAATCCCTCCCCTTTTCTCCTTGCTTGTCCGTCATTCTTTTATTTTCCAGGCTCGTGGTGGTGGACGAGGCCGTGGTGCAGTTCATCCGCGGCGTCAACGAGCAAACCATTCCCGAAGTCCGCCTCACGCGATCCAGGTGCGTTACTTTACACTGACTGACCTCTAAATTAAATTGAACTTTGTCGCGTGAGTTCGAGTTGCAATCTAGCGTCGTCTACGAGCATGCGGACTCGTCGTCTACGAGCTGCGACATGAGTACGACTCACGTGGTGTGACCGTAACGAATTCTGCACTAGTTCTTTTACTCACGTTCTTTGCTGTAGTAAGGTCAGCCGTTTGGGTAGATCTGCAGTCGCGTTTGGTAGTTGACAAGTGGGAAGGTGGGGTACTATTCTCGAAGCATGTGATGACCTGCGTGCTGTCTTTATTCTCTGCTCTTTAGTCCCGAGGTTTACGAATCTGTCGTAGCTTGTGTTCGTCCGCAAACCCCCAATGGACACAGTGAGATCCATCGTGGAGGAACACAAGCTTCGGCAGATTGCAACGCCCTCCTTGCGGAAATTTGAGGTCTTCACGCAGCTTGCAATGCACTCGCGGCGGCATGAAGAGAGCACAGCAGAAGCACGTTGTGCCAGCGGCCAGTTAGCAGCAGTAGTGGTATAGCTACTTTCGTGCTCCACAACTTACCTTTTAACTGCTCAATTTCACTCAATTTCCGTTTGTGTCTCGTCCCCTGCCTTCTCCTCTCTTGCAGGGATGGCACGAGCGGCACGGCCACATTCGTGTTCGAGCAGCCGTCGGTTTTCGACCAGCCCAGCGACCTGGGCGACATCACCGGGCTCTTCATGATCGACGAGGAGGGCGACCTGCAGGTGAATAGCTTGCTTGATTATTTTCTTACGCGCTAGATGCCTCCTCCCTGTCAGTCGTGTTAAAAGTCAGAGACTTGGGGGTACATCACGAGGCTCTTCATGATTGACGAGGAGGGCGACCTGCAGGTGAATAGCTCGCTTGATCGCTTTCACACGCGCTAGGCGCCTCCCTGTCAGTCGTGAAAAAAAGCCAGAGACTTGGGGGTACATCACGAGGCTCGTCCTGATTGACGAGGAGGGCGACCTGCAGGTGAACAGCTCTCTTTTACCCTTGGGAAGTGTCAATTTAGGCCCCTGGCGAAATGTGTGCGTCAGCTCCTGTCACCTTGAACAGGGTTGCACAGCCATTACCCCATGGGCGGGAATAACTATCTTTCCTGCTCGACACACAACCCCACCCCAAACTCTCCCCCCCACGCCAACCCCCCCCTTCCCCACCTCCGACCCCCTTTTCTGCAAACCTGCCAGAGGGTGGACATG